ATACAAATTCAGGGGACTGAGTCTGATTGCCCGTATATATCTCCTAACAATATATCTGAAATCAAAAACTGATCAGAATTACAATACATTAATAACCTTAGAACCTGGGAAATAATCAATAAACATGAAGAAACAGGATATTCTTCATTTACATATTCTAGAAACAATAATAAAAAATTGTGTTCTAAAGTTTACTACTATTACACTCTTCTGTTTGATGGTTGTCGAAATTATTAACCACGGTTTCCAACAACTTCCTCTCAAGAATATGCCCAGGTCAATACGCCAGTTTCGAGATTGTAACTCTTCTGTGATAGAGGCGCAAAAAGTATCCATTTCGGCATGGAGGTGGGACAGGTTGTTTCTGTATACAAACGTGCATAAATAAATGAACGATATTTATGGCTTTTAAAATTTATTAAATGTTATAAAAAGATAATGATATTAAGCTGTGATGCATTTGATGATTTTATCAAGTTCAACTCTGCATATTTACAAATTTACTTTAAATTATAGGTACTTTAATACGAAATAAACGTCATTGTCTTAATAAAAAGTAACTGATTTTCTTGATTGTACAAACAAAAAGTTTGTGGGTTTTTTGAAGTTGTAATAAGGAAGAGAATCAATGTGTCATTTAGATCGCCTACGTACAATATTCAGATGCATGTGTACCGTTTTTATTAGAGGTCCAAATAGCTTCCCTCGTCTGAAAAGTCTCACATCAACCGACATTTTCTTTTTTGTTACGATTTTTTGCTTTAAAAGATGAGGTCTTTAAATTAATTCGGTTATTCTCGAAATGTAGAGTGAATCCCGACAATCATGTAGTTATGATAAACCAGTATATCGATGATACAATGTATCCAGTATCAAACATTTGTCCCACTTGTTTGTTTACGCGGCAACGAAACTCCCCTTCCCAACGAAAGAGCGCACCAAGGGAGATAATCTCGAAACTTGCGTATTGATTTAGTAAAATTAAAACTTTTTTTCAATGAGACACCGTTTGGCGCTTTGGAGGCAGATACGCCAGAGGATAACACATTTTTGACTAAATGACAATTCAGGAATATCGGTTATAAGCAAAATCGATTTTATTTTTTCATATCCCGGTTTTCATTGAGTTTCAAATAGATAAACTAGTGTTATTTTGCAGTGAACTTGCACTCAAGTCTAAATTACAACTTCCAAACTTATGTATAGTGTTTAAAAAGTAATGCTTAATGTTCTTGGTGTATATTTAATGAAAATACACTTTTTCATCCCTTATGATCCATATGGCGTTAAATGACAATTGTACAACTAAACAAAATTTTTTAAAATATACCCTATGAGCAAAATTTTTAGCGATGATTTAATTTTGGCATTGTTAGGGATGGTTCTGAGATCGTTAAAATTGAATTTCGCTAATGATGTATACCATATCTGTTGTTATAACTATTTTTCAAGACATTTCAAAACCGCTCAAAATACTTCCAATAATCGCCTAATTTTTGCGTCTCAATGAAATTTCTACTTATACAGTATAATCATATACGAGGATTGATCCAAAAGTAATGTCACTGTGTCCATATCTTTAATATTTGGCATCATATTATCATATATAATGTGCCAAAAGATGCATAAAAATGAATCTAATCAAAATTGAAAATTTCGAATAATAATGTTTAATTGAACTAATTTTATAAACGTTTAATACATGAAACATGCAGCTTGTCGCCGCGTCACGTTTTAAAGTGTACATTTTTCCAATATTTAAAAAGATAAGTTTACGACATTTACTAGTCTTTAGTTATAAAATAAAAAAAATAATAAATGACGTCCTTGCTTTTGGGTCATAAACATTGTTGTTTTAATCCGATGTATTGAAGAAAGAAAATGTGGAAATGGGAAACAACCGCTGAAATGAGCTGTAATGAGTCATTCTACAAAAACATGACCAATTTAACATATTTTTCTATGTCGCTTACAAATATACCGTTCTAATATCTAGACTTTTATTTTTATGATCGATTTCAACCCTAACTCTCAATGTACAATGTAAATTTATACCTATATATATATGCAGTTAAAGTATCGATAATAAAATAATGAATTGTTGAAAAACGAATTCAACTGCAAATCTTCATTTCTCTCCATTTATTTACAATTTCAAGATGGAATTCTCATCCGTAAAAGAGTCCCAAACAGATTGCGATGAATGTTAAAAAAAGTTTTTAATCTATATAAAAAGAAATCAAAGCTTTTCTTGCAAAAAATGCATTTATATCTTCTTTCATGCGAGATCATTGCATGTCCCTAAAAATCGATTAACTTCGGTAACCATTTTGTTTTAAATTTCACGAACGGAATGCAGATTTCAAAAAGAAATGCAACTTATCTGACCGCTGAACCTTATATCTTTGATTCTAGTTGCGAGTCAGCTATAATAGACGATTACATTTTCGAAATAACAAAACAAATTACAAAAAACTGTGGTCTCTCTTAAAAAATTAACTTCCGTAACTGCAATTCATGAAAGTTTTTGCAATAAAGGTATATATATTTTATATAGTTTTTGGACAGAAATGCTTCATACTTTTGTTTAATATCCCAAAACAAGCTTTGATTTTAACTATCGCCGAGAATTTTAACTTTTATTGCTAGGGAATTTACTTCCGTAACGATATTTTACCGAAATTTTATTTTAATATTGGATTCATGCGAAACTTCATGAATCATATTTCAAAGTTCTATACTGAACATCAGAAACCAAATACTGGTCAAATTCAGCGTTACTTACTGTATAAAATAATAAGGCTTGATCAAGCATTAACTTCCGTAGAGAATCAATGTAATATTGAAATTGTTGTAAAAAAAAATTAACTATACCAGATTTGTGGACACTTTTTTTTTTGGAGTTCACTGATATGTCCTTGAGAGAAATATAATGTTCACTTCATTTTTTGAGACAATTTTTTTCATGTTTTATATCTTGAATTGGTCCATTTATCGTAGAATGACTGAATACGTTTTTGCTTCAAAATGGGGAAATCGACAGTAGAGACAGTTACGAAACAGAGGAAAGAATCTGAATAAGAAACTTGTTTATAGACAGTTTCAGCAATTTTTGACGGGTCATGGGCCATTGAATGATCAGCAGAGGACAGGAAAACGAAAAGGGAGGTCGGGCAAAAACGTTCAATGGTGTCTGACATTGTAAAAAAAAAAAAGAGACGTTTTACGGTTAGAGTGATTTGAAAAACTTTTAAGTTTGTCTTATAGCACTGTTCAAAGAATTTAGACAGAGGACTAAATTATATATAGAGTGAGTGTACAATGGGTGCCCATTATTCTTTTAAAAGTGAAATATGTTAATGTGTTCGTGAATCTCAAATATTTTTAATGAAACGAAGTGAAAGCATTAAAGTATATGACGGCGCGACATTCCGTCATATGACGTTATTTAGTGCGGCGACTACCATAACTGCTCTTTTGTATATAATTCAACATTTTGAGAAGTTTTAATCCATTTTAATTTGAATTTTACAGGACTGATTTGAATAAATAGAGCTTCGATCTGGTATAATTTTGTTAATTTACGTTAACGAATAGCAAATTTATCATTAAGTTGTGACATTACTTTTGGATCAACCCTCGTATATTGGTAATTTTTCTCAAATTCACGTTTTTTGTACATCATAATTCTGAATACAAATTATAAAAATCATATAATTTATTAATCAATCTCTCACTTGTACATGTAATGTCTGTAAAAAATTCATCTTATTTTTGAAATCCTACTTGGGATTACTGATGCCTTTGTTGAGTAAGTACGGTTGTGGCTGTCTTTGTTGGAATCAGTTCTCCCTCATTCAAAACAATTGAGGATCAAAGTTTATAGGAATATACAGGGCAAATCTTTAAAAAAAATCTTCTGAAGAACAACAAAGCCATAATTGCATCATCAGGTAGTATAGATTCAGACTTGTACAAATTGTGACACCCAGGGATAGGATTGGACCACTATGGAATAGGAAAATCTTCCTCTCAAGAACAACAAAATTTAAATGATGATCCTGGGTTTGGGTGGGACCAAAATGAAATTTCAAACTGATAGGGAAAAGAGACAGTAATTCAAACAAATATACAAGTAAGTATTGATACAAGTTAATTTAAATCATACCCCCACCTTTAAGGGTTAATTAAGTCGGGACCACTTCTGCATTTAAGGTTTTTAATACTGGATTGATTCCTGGGTTTTTTTCCTAGCCACAATGCTCAGGTGAGCGATGATAATAATAATATTAATAATAAATCAGATTCTCTAACAGTCTGTGGAAGATTCTTACTTTTCAATTACAAAAAGAGATCAATTTCTCCACATGCGCACTACGAAATACACGGTTAGCTCAGTGAATATTCATTTTCTTTCATTTTGTATGAATTTCCCAGCAATTTTGTCAGATCCCTTAGACAATTCATGAATCAAAATGGACATTTCTTTTTCTATTTTATTTCTAATAATAATTTCACAATATAATGCTTGTGTATTTGGTGCTTTCAAAGAATTTTCGGACTTTTCTCGAGTTTCTGCAAATGACAACAAAATACCAACACTTAACATTATAGGAGAATACAACGAGATTCAAAGCTTGTCAGAATGTGCCTCAAGGTGTTTCAAACTACCTGGTTGTACAAGTTATTTTTTTAACCGTGGATCTAGAAAATGTTTTGCAACCAGCTCTGCAAATGGACTTGTACCGTTCGATGGATTTGTGCAATTCTCTATTCAAACAAGTATGTGTTTGACTGTCCTTCTGAATGGAACACTGTTTTTATTAGTCCTAATTTATACTGTTTAAAACCATGAAAGGAATTGATGGAATTGATCATAAACTCAGAAAATGTAATCTGCCAGTAATTTTTCTAATTTATTGTATACGTTCTGATATATATATCAAATTTTAAAATTCTGTTGCTCAAAGAGCAACTCTTTTTCTAAAGTGATCCTGTTTCTTTTAGATATTTTGCAATGGAGAGTCTTTGGAAAATCGCATTATCTTCTTGTGAGGAATGAACTAGCGCTCCTAGGAGCACAGGTAATGTCATATATATGTTACGATATAGCAAGCAAGGTTATCGGTTCCTGGACTTCATGAAGAATAATTCTAGATTCATATCAACTCTAGCAAAAAAGTGTGTTTTAATTTGATTAATACAGCACCAAGCTGGAAAGCTGTGCGAGTAGAATGCATATAAGAATGATAATTTTTGCTTTTCAGACATATGAATACATTGACTTAGTCCCTTTTTCTTCCTTAAGATCATAGCCTCTGCACCCCGTGGGGATCCGGGTTAGAATAGGTCCTCAGTACCCCTTGCTTGTCGTAAAAGGCGACTAAATGGGGCGGTCCTTCGGATGAGACCGTATAAACCGAGGCCCCGTGTCACAGCAGGTGTGGCAAGATAAAGATCCTTCGCTGCTCAAAGGCCTTTAGTGCCGAGCATAGGCCTAAATTTACAGCCCTTCACCGGCACATGGTGACGTCTCCATATCAATGAAATATTCTGGAAAAGGACGTTAAACAGTATACAATCAATCAATCAATCATAGTCTTTGCTTGAATAAAAAGAGACCTAGTATGGAGATAACTTTTATAAAATAAGACTTTTAATCACGATGTTGTAAAGTATGCATTCTTGCCTTTAAATAGAAAAAAAAATAACAAAATCAAGCTTAGTGTTGTACTTTTTAATCTGCAAAAGAAGGTGAAAGGATTTTCAGGAATGTAGTTATTTTTTACCTTGATTATTTACATTTTTGAAAGATCTAGTTTTCGACTCGTATATCGGTAATTTAAAATCAATTGATGCAAAATCTCGATTTATTTTAGACAATTCTTAAAGCAAAAAGATTGTCATTTGTTCTTTTCTCTATGAATTTGAAATCATTGAAAGTGTTTTACTTTTAAAAACCACATTTTTGAACAAATGAGAGACGATCTAGAGACTACCGATTATCAAGTTCTGGGGAAAGATAACAAGTCGAATCGTAAAAAGTCTGCTTGCATAATGATTTTTAAAAAAATCTAAAGGTTGTGTATCACGAACGACATGGTTTTACTTCTGAACTTGTGACCTATCAAAGAAAAAGATTGAATCGAAGTAAAGTTATTCTTCAAAGCATGTGAAAACGACGTTATTAGTAAGATATTTTTGAATGTAATCTGAATTTCAATAAGCATCGCCTACGAGGTTGTCCCAAAAAGTCGTAGACATGGAACATAGTTTATTTTCTCCTTGCTGAATCAGATTTCTTATCTTGTCATAGCAAAGAGTAACATTTTATGATCATGCATTTCAAGTTTCATGACGATACTACATTTAATAAAAAAAACTATGAAAAAATAATGAAACCATATGTAAGTGTACATCGGCGCACGAACGCAAGCGTAATTTACGTCTCTCATAACGTCATGGTCCCTTTTTCTGCTTCACATGAGGCTATTTACATCCAAATTAACTTTCTTTTTATCCCGAAAACCCCTTTACTCTTCAGGGGTGCAGGGTTTGGACGCTGTAATGAAGAAATTTAATGTAGTGGATTCCTGATTCTACGTCCTTCCTCTAATAAACTTTTCGATTTTTTTGCAAAAAGTTTGCTTTCTAGACTCCTCCAAAAATTAAACTGTCTCCCCGAATACGAAATTGAACAACAGTACCACTAATATTTAAGAAAATTGCATATAAATTTGTCTTTGTGTTCTTGCATACCTTTGCTCTTGTCGGACCATTGCTGTTTTTATCAAGTATATCTTATGGTAAATTTTGTATTGAGTGTTTTAAGCAATAGATTCATGTTCCATTATCAGTTTGAATATGAAACAAAACTGGATAACTACAGTTGCTGATATTTTAAAATAATTGTTATGACATTCCTACACGCTGTCTTTTTCACTCATTTTTCAAAATAAAGGGTGATCCTTGAGTACCAAGCTTTTTTACCATCAAACGTTTCTTTAAAACATTGTAATATACTCCCGATATGATGTATATCAAATTTGCTATTTGTCTTAAAGTCAGTCTTACATCATCAGATATTATTTGTTGAAATTGGGCAAATATTACATCAGTTGTTATAATTTTTGTTGGCAAGGACGTTACCCATTTTTGATGCCCATTATATATTTTTTTATCATTGAAATCCACTTGCTTATTTGCCTATAAAACAGGCATTGGTTGATGTAAATGTCACATATTTAAGTGAAAATTTCTTTGGGATTTTTAACACGTTTTACAGCAGCTTTGCAGAAGCTTTTATTTTCACTCGAGTTTACCGATTCTTTACCATTAATTTATAATGCAGTGTCTCGAATAGCCCTTGTTTCCCAGCTTCTCACGATGAAACAATGTGATGAAAAGTGGTCACATAAACTGTTATCAATTCATTAAAGATTCAATAATGAGAGAAAGTCTAGCTTAATGCCATATGAGTTCTATATTGTATGTCATTGAGCTAATGACATTATATATTGAACGTCCCTCGTAGAGGAAAAACTACGTTTGAATCTCATACTATTAAAAACAACTTTTCTACTAAAATATAGTGTGTAATGTCCTTTCTGCACTCTTTTCCCCCGTCTCTGATGAATATAAAACATACCAAAAACAATTTATTACGTTTACGTGCGCTGGGTACGCGTTCGACGACGTCATTTTTCAACAATCTTAATTCGAACAACACTTTGAATATAATGCCACCAGTCGTCTGTTTCTAATGCTATTGATATGAAAAATTGACATATTATTAAGATTTTGATTCTGGTTTCAGTGATTGAAATTTTAGTTCAATCTTTTACATAGTTCCAAAGAAATAAAAACAAATGTAATAGTTATATGCGTCAATTTTCCGAATTTTGGTCGTGTGCCGACAGACCATATCGGCCTTCATATAAATCGTCCCAATTTAATTAATATGTTAGATATATATTTTAGAAATCACAATTTTAAAGAACATTGAATGTATTATGTCTATGCAAAATTTGGTTAGTATTGGTTGTGTGTTAAAAAAAACTATCAACATATTGTCTAACATCGTTTTGGGACAACCCTCGTGTATGTCCATAGAATATTCTAGAAATATCCTGTTATGAATACTTAATTACGGTCTAAATACGTGGTTTAAGTGCATAACTGTTTATGGTTGGTTTACTAATGAATTAAAACACAAAGACCAGAGTTCTCCATGAGCTGTTTTAATGTTTTATTACTATTCAAATTTTATGCGTGGGACACAGTAGAAATTTGCCGACACAATAAGATCTGTGCTGGTCCCGAAAGTTAAACATAATTTCTCTCTAACTGAAACTTTAATCAAACAATTCTACTGTTATTCAGTTCTCAAAGGTAGAGGGCTTAATTAGGGCTTCGTCTTGCATAAAAAATTATCTCTTACACCCTGGCATGAAGGAACAAAGACAAATAATTTGTTTTGACTTCCACTTTGTAACTTTTAATTGGTAGATGCATTAAACATAACATTGTATTAATTTAAAAAAAATAAATAATGTATGTCTTTTCTATAGAGCCACGACTCTTGAATTATGTTTTCACTGTAAATCAAACATAACATGGTACCGAAATCATTGAATTGATTTAGATAAATTGTTTTGAATTTTCAATGAAATCTTAAAAGTATTTTACTATTCTGGAGTTTTTTTTTTTGTTTTTGTTTTGTTTTTTTTTTTTGTAATTCGGTAATTCGATCAAGAGAATTGACAAAAAATAACGGCAAATTTACTTTCAATCAAAAATGATAAGTAGCTCGACTGTATCGACTAGAATTTTCTCTGCTTTTCTGAACATGTGTTTTAACTTTAATCAATATGTACGACAATACCATTTGTGTAACAAATTAGTGACTTTAAAAAAGATTTGTTCAAGTATTCTTTAAATTGATATTATAATGAATAGCGATTCATTTGCGAATTTGATCGCAAAGATACCGCGAAAGTTTAGTGCTTCGGGTAAACTTCTGCATGTACTACTGGCAAAAGTCGTTTTTTTTCCTACACAGTATATGATATACTGATTTGCCTGCATATCAATTTTAAATATTACAATCCCATTTATGTTTAAAAAGTTTTCGAAAAACAAATGCTAAAATATCGTTTTCTCTATAAGAGCCACACCTCTAGCACGAGGAAGGGGGTAGATGGGGCTATTTACGCACCATTTCTAATCTTATCATAGCATTAGCAAGCCCACACATCTTCGAGTTCTCTTGGACGTCCTTTTAAAACTTTAAGTATGTATTATTTTTGTTTGAAAATAAATATGTTCAGATTATTTTTATATGATAATGTATCCTTTTCAAGAGACACTGTTTGGCGCTTGGGGCAAAGCTTGTCGAGATAGAAACTCCAGAAGAAAACACATATTTGACAAACATTGCGAAGCAAGAAAACGTTGGTAAGAACAGACCTTTTAAGCAGTTTCTTTTATTTTCATTGGTTTCCAAAAAAAAAAAAAAATTAGTTCTTTTGTTTTAATTTGTCTTAAGTTTGGATTATGATTATTTTAAAAGAATTAAAAAATGTTAAATATGTACATGTATTCGATATTCAATAGTACTTTATAGCACATATATATTAATGAAAAAAAAAAACATTTAGCACAACTTTAAATAAACGTTAAATAGTGAATTTCATGTCGCTTTTTTACCATTCCCACTACCGCCAATGAGGATAAAACTAATGTGCATTAGATTTGTACGTATTTTCAAGTTAAAAGTAGCACGAATTTTATCAAAGCAAAATAACTAAATATGTCATATACTGTAGACGTACTTTTTTCCACGGGGTCATAATTCCGCGGAATCTCCATTTCCGTTTGATCCGCGGGTTGAAAATTACCCGGATTTCTCAGACTATCTCTATATGCCTTTTATTTATATTAAGTACGCTTGGACAAATTTGTGACCGCATACATAGGTAAATAAATACCACGCGGAAAAAAGTACTTCTACAGTAGTTGAACTACGTTTCTCGAACAGGCAGACCACGTATATATAAACAGAAACGCAACAAACAGTAATCTACAAATATTTGAATATTTTATCTAATGATTTTTAAAAAATGAATACAGTAAGGCTAAACTCACTTTTCAAAACATCAGACATTTGATAAAATGTTTATTGATTATCTGTCAACTTTTGAAAATACCATAATGACTGTTAAAACACCCCCTCCAAGACATTCAATTAAAGCGTGCAAGACTTTGATCCTACACAACAATTACAGCTTAAATTCTACGATTTATCAATATAGAGATCTTAGTGAAGGAAATATTCGTTGTCATTTTTAAATGTCTGTTTTTCTGATGATAAAGTCGAATTTTCTCTAGCCTAACGCAGTGTAGAAACACTTGTACTTCCTGTCCTGTCCACGGTCCGTCATTAATGCATATGATACGAAAGAGCCTGTTGAAGCGATATGTAGTGATTTTTTGCATCAGCGACTTTCCATCACCTTTATTTTCAGATTTTCCAGCTAAAGCAATGGAAATGCGTACTTAATACATTTTCAAGAAGCCTTAGTATTACTGCAGGAAATAAAATGCAACAATTACAAACCCTTATAATTCCATAATATTGCCAAATGTTTTGTTAAAATTGCATTTTTTTTTTAATTTCTAATAAGCAGACTCAAACTTATTTTCCGGTAATGGTATGAAAATTGTTCTACCGTCCATTATCGATTTTTACACAATTGAAGATATCCATACTTTAAAGATACAAATTTCTTTACAATGTTTAATCATTTCCCCATAAAATAGGATTTTGCGTTTTTTTTGCTTCAGTATAGAAAGCAAAAAGAATTTAAATTCACTTTACAAGGATACGGACTCCCAATCCAACCCGAGGTTTACCACTCGACCCACAAAATCTGTCCTTAAGCCTTTCAGAAACGGTACACTAAACTGCTCAGCCATCTAGTCAAGTTAAAAAAAAACTTTCTTTCGATATTCTCGCGGCGGCTGTAAAGGGTCATTTCAAGTGGAAGTAAGAAATAGTTATTTGGACATGTTTTTTTAAATAGAATATCAATAAAATACATATCGCAGTGATATTACTGTTTTTTTAAGCACATTCAATTAATCAACAAAATGCTTTCTGTTTTCTTATGTTTTTTATGGACTAAATAATGCAATTGTTGCTTACGCCGGTAATCTTATACCTTTCTGCGACATGCAGTTCACACTTCCTAAAATACTTGTAATATGCTAAAACGTTCTAAAATACTTAGCGCATATTATAAAACTCATAACTACTTTTCTTCAAACTCACACTGTTACAAAAATGTCAAATAAATAAATACTGAATATTTTTTCTTCATTTTAATGTAGATATTCGGATTGGGATTACTGATATCTTTGAGGAGGGAAAATGGGTGTTCCTATCGTCGTTGAAAGCTGTTCCGTTTACTTACTGGAGCTGGGGTAATCCCGACAATACTTTTAATCAAGACTGTGTTACGTTAGCAAGCTATGTTGACTATGAGTGGGATGACGACCATTGTTCAGCTCAAAGGAATTTTGTTTGTGAAAGATTAATTGGTTGATAATCATGACGTCACCATTCAAACTAAAGTTTGAATGAAATATTAAGTTGTTATTTAACGTGTATCAACAAGTGAACAAGTAGTATTTAGTAGGGAAAAATTCAATCTTATATATTACTTGTATATAGGTCAAGATGCTGTGAATGAAAATATATATAACAGTAAAAATTGAAAACTTAGATTTCGGTGGCCATCAGTTCTTTATTAGGCTCTATGCCACTGTCAAGAAAGTTTGAAAAGATGTAAAAGGGGTAAAATTTTCGTGTGTGGTGAGAAGAATAAAATTAAGGCTATACTACAATTTCTTTAGCACATATTTCAATGTAAATTATAAATTATCGAAAAAAATACCAGACAACAGCTTTAAAATGAAAATGCTTGGCATAAAATCAAACAACAACTGACAGGATGTGCTTGGAATGTAGAAATAGCAAAACAAAAAAACAGATGATGGATACAAAATAAATAACTTACTTACTTACGCCTCTTCGCGCCAGACGGTACATAAGACAGGCACACAGTCCCTCCACTTAGTCCTATCTTTGCCTTTCTTTCTATTTTTTCCACGTAAGCCTTATCTCTTTCAGTTCTTTCTTTGTTGTTCTTCGTCAAGTTGTTTTTGTCGTCGACCGTTTACAAAATGCTCTCTCTTGTGATGTTATGCTGGTGTTTTCTGAGCACATGTCCGACAGATCTCCACTTTCTTCTTACACTTTACATCACAATATCTTCCTGTCCTGACATCTCTCTTAGTTTATTGTTGGGCACTACTTTTGGCAATTTGATCTTAAATATGGTCCGAAGACAACGATTTACAAACACTCTCAGTTTCCTTGCGAGGTCTTTCCGGGCCTTCCAGCACTCTGATCCATATTATTTATAGTATTGATTTCACATTCCTATTGTAGATCCTAAGCTTTGTCCTAATAGTCATGTAGGAGGAGGTCCAAACTGGTTGTAAGATGGCAAACACATCACGGGCTTTCTTGATTCGTGATGTAATGTTCTCGTCATTATCTCCTGATGTTGTTACAATGCTATTTAGGTATGTGAAGGTGTCTACATCTGAACTTTACGGGGTTGTTATTCCATACATTGATTCTTATTATTTTGGTCTTGTTAAAATTTTTGTTTAAGCCTAGATTTCTAGATGTTGTATAGAGTTTGATTGTTTTCTCATTGATTTGCTGATAGATGGATGAGATGAGACATAGGTCATCGGCATAATCCGGGTCATCCAGTTTGTTTTCCATTCTCCATCAAATGCCGTTTTTCTTATCCCTGGTGAAGTGAATTCCTTCATCACCCAGTCTATGGTCACAATGAAAAGCAAGGCGATAGCATACAGACCTGTTTCAGTCCTGATGTTGCTGGAAACCACTCTGTTTTGGCATTGTTAACCATCACACTAAACTGAAATCCTTCATGCAGAACCCTGATAATGTCAATAATCTTCAGTGGTAGGCCATACAATCTCAAGAGCTTCCATAAACTTTCCAGATGTACAATATCAAACATCTTTTCAAAGTCTACAAATTTACGGTATAGTGAAAACTGCCATTCTAGTGACTGCTTAATTTGTGATATTTAGTAATACAAAATTTTGGTCACCACATGATCTTCCTGATCTTAAACCTGCTTGCTCCTCTCTCAGTTGTGCATCGACTTGTTGTTTAACTCTGTCTAAAAGCACTCTGGTGAACACTTTACTTATTTTGAGTAAAAGTGTTAATCCACACAAGTTAATTGTTACACTTTGATTTATCTCCCTTTTTCCGTTTGTCTCGCCTTGCACTACTTTTGACCTCTCTATCTGTTTCCTGTAGGACTTTGATAAGGGTTCCTGCTTTGAGTTGTCTTTACAGTATAGTATCTTTGATTTGATCTTCTTTCTCTCTGATATGAGTCCATGTATCAGATGTTAGCCACTCCTCATTCACACTTTTCCTATATCCCACTGTCTCAGTCGCTGCTGAAGCTAGACAATCCTTGATCTTATCCAACTTTTTGTCTATGTTGTTTCCATCGCCCATCATCTTGAATGAAGAAAATCTATTCCTCAGCTCCAGCTGAAAGGCTTCTTTTATCTCATGTTGTTGGTTTGAGCATATTTTATTGCACAAAATATATACAATGGGATTGGGCACAAGTTCTAAAAACTTAAATCGCCCTCTCCCTATCTCATGTTGTTAAAGTTTGTTCGCTGCAAACTTCCTCCGTCCTTGCAATTTCCCCACTGCTTTTAAATCAAGTTGTATTTTGGCACGTAAGAGTATGTGATTCTTATTAATGTAATGAATACGATAGAAAATTCATGATTATTTGTTACAAATATTTTTATTTGGTAACAATTATATTGTAAATATTTTTTAATGATTTGTTTGTTGTGCGTTGCAATTTCTTGAACAATTTTCCCCCCCATTTTATATCTATGTGCGAATGAGGTTTCATTTTCTTTTATGAAATATGTCAATAATTTTTTTTTTATGTTGAATTAAATGATCTTGGTTCTTTTTTCCCGATGAAGGGACATCGTCTCAAGCCACGGTCCGGATTCTGCATATTGCTTTCTCCTAACCGTATCGTGATCTAGAATATTCACGCCTTTCTACTGTGACGTCATATTCAGTCAATAGTTTTGTTTCCATCGCAATTGAAATCAACAATTTACATCAGTATTCGTGTATTGCGATTGGGTATGAAAAGGTCACATCAAAGTTCATTTTCCGACTATGCTTTCCTAACATTGGTCAATATTTTAATGAACTACGAGATATTCTTTTCACATTCAATCCCGGAAAGAATGGGAAGGGATCGTACATTTCGGCCGTGGTTAAGATCACATTTTGAAGGTCAAGGGTAAAAGTCATTAAAAAAGACAATTTTAATACTTTATCGATGACCTTGACCTTTGACATTGAACTAATCTTCAAAGTCAAAAGTCAAAATATCTCATGCATTGTCCCAATGTCTTTAGTTTATTTATCATTGTCTAAAAGGTCATTTCCGGTCTACATTGAGATCATTTTAAAATGTGATTTTGTGTAATTATGTTCTCTCTATTTTAAGATTTTGATGTTTTTTCTGCAACATATTCATATTAGCTATTTGATATAGAAACAAATTATGTCGGTCAAATAAAGCAAAATTAGGATAGGTCTAATTAAACCATGCTTAAATGCCTGTTACTTAATTTTATTAGTCGAAAATTGTTTATTTATAAAGGAAACATATCATACTTAAATAATATGTATATAAAGTGTTGGAATTAAAAATTAAAGTAATTCCACCCTCCTATGATGTCATAGGTTTTTGCAAAAACTGTAATCAGTTTAATTTATACCTAATAGAAAAATATCTCTTGGAAGAACGCTTTACAATAGGTGTAATGACAAATATTGTTAAGTTAAAGAATTTAAAAAATACATATTTTCTTTACTTAATCAATTATTCTATCTTTAAAAAATGTTGACAAGGGCAATAACTCCTTCTTAGGTCTTTTCATTCAGGCATTTGCTTTATTGTAAAATAGTTTCCCTGATATTCACAATTCAATAGTATCTTTTAAGTTGGAAGTATTTAAGAACACTCAGCATCAGAATTAATCATTTTAACCAGTTTTTACATATTTTTCATAATACTGTTTTCAAAAAATGTGCGATTTTTTTGTTGACATAAACTTCTGTTTATTTATGTTTCGCATCTTAAATAATTTGGTGACCTATACATTTTTGTAATAATTGGAAAGTTTAAAGTTTATTAAATAAATGCAGTTTTTGTACTTTGAACCTATAAAATTGTGATGGTGGAATCACCTTAAATGATTTTTTCTGGACATAAATAGTGAAGCAGTCACATATTGTAAAAATAAAACATGTAAATCTTTACAAAATGCAAACTGCATGTCCGTGAATAACTATTATATATCATTTATTTTGGTAAGATATTTTATTTCAGTTTATATTGTTTGATTACTAGTGTTTGTATAGATGTAAAACTAACTAACTAGAATAAAAAGCAGATATCAGAAATGAATTGTCGAAGAGTCTTTCAAGATTGAATTGTCAAGCATGTGAAGTTAATGCTGGACACATATTAAGAAATTTTTTTTAATTGAATAAATACTCAGTTATCAATTAAAAAACTAATTAAAAGGAAAAAGTTATTCAAGCATTCATTTACAAATTGCATAGATATTTCAAGGCCAAGATCTCTACCCTTCCCTCTTGCATCACACTCAAAAAAAGAATAATTTTCAACAGCTCTTTAAATTACTTAAAGATTTAAGAATATGATCTGACAAATATCTGTAACAACAGATACACATAATTCCTATCGGTCGTGTTAGTTAAGTAATTGGCTTTGGAGGTCAAAGAATTTCTAAATTCTCCTTAGCTGTCAAGCAAAGCTATTTTCTTTAACATGAATACCGACCCTCCCTTTTCTAAATAAGCGTAAAAGTCGTTGATTTGTTTGAAAAATATATACACTAGATAAATTTGCTAAAGCATCACCTGAGAGATTTAATATTTTACTAAAAAAAACTGTTTATGATGGGTGTTATATATAAATATGATATTTTTATGAAAGATAAGCCAAATTAATGTCAATCCAAATAATAAAAAATGTACAATGTTTAATGAAGGGTCACCAATTCATAGAAAAAAATCGTGTCCATTCTATTTTCGAAGGAAAAAAAACATTTTTTTTTTCATTGAAGTTGTGTTCTTTACATTCTCACTCATTAAAAATTCGGGGGAAAAGTTACAACGTATGCGGCGTTCGAGGCTAGAAGAGCTTGCTAAAGCAGAGAGTATGGCGTCTGCAGGGGGTCCTTTAGAGAAATCTGTAAAAAATGAAAACATTAAAAACTTTTGAATTCCACTCGTAAAAAAACAGATAGATTAACAAACATAAAATTATCTACTATAGATAGCCACCTGATTAAAGTATAGCAGCTTACAATAATTTGAAAAGTGTTTCACAAAACTGGTTCAACCGGAATTTGAGTAGTTTTGGACACTAAGGAACTGGATGATTACGAGGCGATACCAGAGTAAATGATTATTTGTTATTTAATTTCTAATGGTGGGACTCCTCCTGTGGCAACCTCATAGACCACCTTTAGTGATCAAGAATTTCATATCTGGGCAAAATTGGTGCACAGTGCACCGCTGGAAATTGGT